GTCGTCGTGGTCGTCTTCGTCGTAGTACTAGTAGCTGAAGCCGTAGTAGTAGTAGTAGTAGTAGTAGTCGTCGTCGTCGTCGTAGCAGCAGTAGTAGTAGCAGGAGTAGTAGTTGTCGTCGTTGTCGTCGTCGTCGCACTCGTCGCCGTCGCAGCAGCAGCACTAAAGCTGCCGCTAACCATACGACAATGATACAAGGAAAGATGCGGCGCAAAACATGTTACAGAGCCATATGCAGACTTCCCATACTCATCAGCAGGTCCTTGGAGCAATTGAGCTTCTTCGTGCAGAACATGGGAAACTTCTTGCAGTCGACTGCACTCCTGGAGGCGTTTGTGTGTGTGTGTGTGTGTCTATGCATATATATATATATACATATATACATGTGTTATAACACGGGTGTATGTCTACATATAGATAGATGGATGAATAGATAGATAGATAGATAGATAGGTAGATAGGTAGATAGGTAGATAGGTAGGTAGGTAGGTAGGTAGATAGGTAGGTAGGCAGACTAGATAAATACGTCTGGTTACATGTATGTGTGTATATATACATATGCATATGTATGTATGTATGCATGCATGCATGCATGCATGCATGCATGCATGCATGCATGTATGTATGTATGTATATATATATATGTGTGTGTGTGTACGTATGTATGTGTGTATGAGTAAGTCTATACACAGAACTATGTATGTGTTGTATATGTATATAAAGAGACAGAGATGTAGCTGCACACAGATACATGAAAGCCGACATATCGAGATATAGATACATAGCTATATACAGATGTACAGATGTATAGGTCTACGGAGGTCTACATATATGAGGATACATAGATATACAGATGGGAACAGAGATGTGTATACATACATATATATATAAATACTTGAGTGTGTATGCATATACATGTATATGTATATTGGCATGTCGATGTAAAGGTATGTATGTGTGTATATACATATATATATATGTGCGTATGTATACATATATGTGTATGTATGTATGTATGTATGTATGTATGTATGTATGTATGTACGTATGTATGTGTGCAATGTATGCATGCATGCATGTATGTATGCATGTTGGTAGTATGTACTTATGTCTGTATGTATGCATGTATGTATGTATGTATGTATGTGTGTATGTATGTGTATATGTGTGTGTGTGTAGATGTATATGTATGCGGGCATATGAGTTCACAACTTTCTACCTATCTATCTATCTACCTATCTATCTGTATATGTATATATATATTATTCTATTTGATTAAACTCTATCATGCTGTGCTATACTACATTATAGTATATTTTGTTATACTGTATTATCTTACTTATACTATCTTATGTTATCTTAAACTACCTTATCTTATCTTATAATGTATTAGGTTATATATCTAGATTCGTATTATGTATATTAATGTATGTAGTTACTATGTAGTTAATATGTGTACACAAATCTGCCGAGCATCCCCTCGCCCTCCCAAGTCGGAGGCTGCTGAAGTTGCAGCACACGACTCACCACATGCTGCACTGCCTTAGCCACCAAACTCTCAAACCCCCGACTTCATCCGACTTCCCCGATGCGCGTCATGGCACAGTACCGGCACCAAGGCTCGATAAGGATCCACAGCCACAAAGCTATCAGCCAAGCATTGCGATGAAAGAAACCGACTGTTTTGCGAAGATGCGTTGCGCAAGGTGTTCTTGCTTCTTCAGGTATGTTCCAGTTGCAGCAAGAGAACAACATTCGCCAACCGCACGAACCCCAACAGCATTTAGGACTAACTTTAGGGACTCCCCGGTGCGGCAACAGCATTCAGCTGCGATGATGCGATCCTTCGTCCCCGAACAAGAAAGCAAAACAACGATGCACCCTCCACGAATTTCAAAACGCTGTGCAGACACCTGTTCGTCACTGTGAAGGCCCCTCGCAATCAGCATCTCCTCGTTCGTTGCTCATGCGAATGCATCGGCAGGAAGAACACAGACTGCTTGCAAATCCCAGGTTCTGCGTCAGATTCTTCTGTCACTTCGACTCGCGCACCCGCGTGATAGCTTTCACCGGCCTTGACATCTGATCGCAAGCATGAGAAGCTCTTTGCGGCTTTGAGGCACGAACTCTTCGGCAGTTTTTCATGGTAGGGCTCCGGCTTTGATGCTGCGGACGCCAGTTTGCAGAAGTTCCTAGAGCAACTCCGAAAGCTACCGAGGCTTTCCTGCGTGCTAAAACTCCCGAGCTGCAGCCATCGTCAGCGTATCCAGAAGCCGGAGATGCTAGTGTTCTATGGTGTGATGGCAGGCGACGATTGCGGGGCTGGAGATGGTGACAGTATTTGATGGTGGTCATGCAGAAGATGAGCATTTGTACAACGCCGTAAGAATGTCTCAAGCGATCCTTTGGGTCAGTCCCTGCAATGACGGGCCCTTTGGCGTTCCCTGGAGATCTGTCCTGGCGCATCACCTGAAGCTCTGCGTCCTCCTGCATCTCCACTTCCTGGGTTCTTGTTAGGGGTCTTATTTTAATTTAAGCTACCATAATATAGGGATCTATAGTAAATAATAGGGATTTATGGTAACTTAAATTAAATCCCTTAGCAAGAGCCCAGCTTCTTCTTCGGCCATGGAGTTCCTGCACTCGGAGGTATCGCCTCGTACGCCTCAGGGAACAAGAGGGGACTCAGCTTTTGAGGGACCGAAAAGCTATCCCTACGTGGGTAGTTCTCCAAAAACGGGTTCCTTTTGGGGGTTCCTTTTTATAAGGGTGCCGTACTGTACTGGGGACCTGAGAAGGGACCCTTCTGTAGCAAACTATCCCTGCGTGGCAGTCTGAGTCCCGAGGCCGTGGAAAGCGAGGACTGCAGCTGCGAGGAAAGCTGGTGTGCACATGCTTTGGCGCGTCATGTCCGGGAAAATGCAAGTCTTTATGAGCCCACACTCAGACATGCACTTATGCAACGTTGATGCCATGGAGCATTATGTGTTCTGCGTGCCGCGTTGCGCTCTGCATGCAACACAAGTCTCTAGAATGGGCCCCGATGCCGGGAAAATGGATGCTCCGTGGAGGTGATGCCGCGAGCAGCTTGTGCCGTGGATCTCCGGTCACTGCCGCTGCTGCTGCAGCTCGAGCCACGTGAGCGGCAGTCGCTGAGAGTCACGAACAGCGGTGAGCGATCTGGACAATTACGAACGACAAGTCTTGATGCCATGAGATCTTGATATGTTAACTGTCAACTTAAAATGCTGTCACTAGCTTAGGAAGTAGTTAAGGTTTAGCGGGTTGATGTTTAGGCTGTCGCTGCCACTGTTTTGCATTTGATGAGAATGGCACGAGGATCGCAGCACAGCGGAATTCTTCCCTGGCTGCAAAGGGCAAAAGGACTGCAAGTTTCACGGTCGCGCTGACCACATCCTCTTCTGCTTGGGAGGCAGACATACATTAAACAACGCAGTCAAGCTTGTGTTCCCGAGGACGGCCAGTTTTGATACGCTTGTCTGTGTTATGTTCAATTGCCTCTTCAAACTAGGAACCAGTCTAGGGCAATGTGGGACTGCGGGGGCTTGCTTACAAGAATGAGCAGGTAGCATCTTCTGCTGAAGGGAATGTCGGGATGGTCCACGAGAGCCCTTCTATCCATGTGGGCGCAGCTGTGTATAGAGTGAACACAAGCCCTCACGGCTGAATCTTGAAACAGATCATCGACTGCTATGGGAAAAAGCCTGCTACACAAAACTTTTAAAAGACCCGCCTGCCTGGCTGGCGGGCTGGCTACGAATTCGCTGACCTCCTCGACAGGCCTTAGGCCTCCAACTTCTAGAAAGCTGCAAGAGATGTCTCTCAATAGGCTCTTCGTGCTCTTCTCTCTTATGAAAGATGTAAGTCGTAAGCACAATTGGGATTAGTAGCCCTCCTGCTGCTGGTGCTTCTGCCTGTGCAAACTCAGGGCTGCCATGAGCCTGCAATCGGTGCAAGAGACTCTTGGAACAGGTTCTTCCACACCTGATGAGAGGAATTGATCTTTCCCTCTTCCTGTTGGTACGTGTGGGCGTGAGAGGGACAGAGACAGGCAGAGAGAGTTGCAAGCCATGAGTCCACGCAGGCAGGTGGCTGGGAATGGCTGGAGGACCCCGGCGTGACATTTTAATGACTCAACATCAACCTTTGAAACACGGGGATGACTTGTAGGTGCATCCAGAGAACCAAGCCGAAGCATCTTCCAAAGCTACATAGCAGTAAGGATGCTCCGCACTGGAAGCACAGAGATCCGAAACCTGGGGTAAACATGCATTCTGTAAACTTTAGTGTTGGGTCTCGCAGAATCATACTGTGATGTGATGGCATGAAGCTTGCTGCCTGGACCATCTTGGCAGGTGTCCCGCATTGCAATCAATGGTTGCAACCGTACAGCGCATGCTCCCCACTGGATGGGTCGCGAGCATGTCCAAGGCGTCGGGGCTAGAACACTGGATTCATTTTTTGTGTTCTCGTTCTCGGAGCTTTGCAGTGATAACAGTGATAACCTCGATGTGACCACATGACAACATCGCTGCCATTACTCATCCTTCGTGCGGTCTAACAGTTCCCACAGCCATTGGCAGAGCTTCAAACCTGCTGCCCTCGATTAAGACCTCTGATCTGAAACCTGCACGAAATCCTTACACTCAAGCACTGCGCACAGAAAGCGCTGAACTTCTCTGCCTGTTGGGCGCAAAGCTGCCCGTCAGGAGCGTGCCGGGCAGCATGTCGGGATTTTCCTTCCACCCACAGCTGAGTAACTAAAAAAGTCAAGCAGTCTGCGGACTGATGAATATCCCTCCACACCTCGTCAGAGCTGTCACCAGGTCGGGGCAAGAAGCAGAGGTAATCCGGAATACCGTCACCTGCAAATGTGATCCAGTGCACAACAAAGCTCTGCGCGACTACAACGGAGGCAAAAGCCGCACCGTCTCCATCAGCCGCCATCATGCGCAGGAGGCTTTCCTGGCATCACCGTGCTTTGCTGACGCGAGAAGAACTTGTGTGTGCTTGAGCTTGATTTATGCATGGCATCTTGAAGCCAAGCGACAGCCAATTCCATCATTTCAGTCTCTGCGCTTTCGCTGATGGCAACTCATCTACACTCAGCTTAGACATCTCACAGCAGATGTAGCGGTGCGCACATGCTTCTGCCGCCGCATCTCCAGAGCGTAGCAATAGATGATGGTATCGAACACCTGAAGCTCCAGAGGTTCGGCAGAACGCCGCAAGCCACTTGTTGGTGTCTGGACATAGCAAATCGGCGAGCAGCTCCTGCTCTTGCTCCCTATGATCTAAGACTCTAAGCCTGCCACTGTGTCAAATACCAGCATGATGCTTCGGCCTTATCGCATGGCACATCTTCACAGCTCGGATCGCTAGGCCCATGTCCTCGAAGCACAAAATCTGCAACTTTTGTCAACGTTGTCAGAGGACCAAAACTCATGCTTTTTATGGGCCCATGGTAGTTGGATCATGTTGGATCTGCAGGTAGCTTGGCCTGGCCTTATGCGTCCGATAGCACTGTTGCACACCGCGTCAGAGAAATGTCATAGGGCTACAGGCTCCATCTGAGAAGCTATGGTGACTACTGCGGTAGGGGTCAGCCGGATGTTGCGATTTCCAGGTAAGCCTGTACCTCCACCGGAACTCTACAACTCGGAATCCCCCATCACGAAGTCTTCGAGAGCGTCTGAAGTCCTAAACCCACCCCTAATCCCCTTGAAAGGCCCTTTTGAGGCCAAGATGCCAATGAGCAGCCCAACCAAGCCTGTAGAGATGAAAACCTGGGGAGAGGGAAGCTCCAGGGCTTTCGGTGCGTAAAATATAGGGGCCTTTATAATCAGCCTTCGAGACAGAGCTTCAGGGAAGACCAAGCCAGGTTTAGGGTTTAGGGTTTAGGGCTCTTTTCCGGACAAAACAAAGCTGTTACTCAAGACTGTACAGGCTTGTGTCTGCAAAGTCAGGACTCCAGAAGTGCAACCTCAAAGAACCTGAACTGATACTGGTACTGCACATGATCATAGCCATAAGGCGGGGATCCTGGTTCTTGGGCTGCACGCCTGCGAAGCAAGGCGTACATACATTTTTGCGACATCAGCTCTCTGCAATCAGAATACGGTTTGGGGGTATATTATACTATAATTATAATCAGGAACCCCAAACTGGATCCAGGCCCCCATATTGCTGGTTTGGGGTCGAATTTCCCCCTACCCTTGCATTATAGCAAATTATAGCATGCGTAGAATGATTGAGGTGGGAGAAAGCAAGCAGGAGCCCCTGGTGTGGCCAATGCCGCCGGGGTCAAGTTTCTTCAACGATGATGCTCTAGATCTCTGCAATATAGGGGGCCTTAATAACTGTAGTAGGGTTTTGGGGTATATTACCCTATAAATATACTAAAAGGCCCCCAAAAGAGTAGAGGTAATTATTAATTCTATATTGGGGCTTCGGCACCGGCTTTGTCAGCTTGGCACACGGGGCTGTTTCGAGGCGATCAGATGGTGAATTCTTTGCCACCGTCAGCTCGAAAAGTTTGAGCTCCAACAAAACGCCCTCCACCGAGGACCTCAAAAGGTAACATGGGAGCGTCAGAAAGAAGGGACCCTACTATGTTCTGGACCTTGCATATAGGATTTTTAGACCCGGCACCCCGAAGCAAAAAGGATCCCTAACCCCAGCAAATCCCCATCCGGGCTCTCGGCGGTGCTCGTGTCCCAGATGAAAAGGTCACTGCTCGGATCCGAGAAACTTGGGACCTGAGCCAGGGCTTGGGTTGCTGGTGTAGGGTTTAGGGTGAAGGGTTTAGGGCTTCGGACTTGGGGTTTGGGGTTTAGGATTCAGGGTGAGGTTGCGAGTGCCAGGGTTTGTTTAGGCCTCAGGGTTTAGGCTTTCGGCTTCGGGGCTTATGGTGTGGGGTTTAGGGCTTAAGGCTTAAGGAACCTTGTTAAGATTCCTTGACCAAAAACCGTAGGCGAAGGAAACCCTGAGGGTATCAGGGTTCGGTGCTTCTCTTGCCGTGCTTGCTAGAAGTGCTGGTATGTCGATCATTGCGCTTATTCCTACTTACTACTGCTACTGGTACTTTTCGGCATCGAATCTCACTACTATGGCTACAGTATTCACTATTGTTAGCTACTTAGTTTCTAGGTTTAAATACCACTACGACCGCAACTGATTGTGATCAGTGTTGGCGCAGGGCAAGGCTTTTGAGTCTTCCGGAGTCGTTGTAGGGGGGCTGGCCCTGAATCTGAAACCCAAAATAATCCCCAACATCCAAACTGCAAACCCTAAACAATCAGTCCTCTCGCAAAACCTGTGATGGCTCCAAGTTTAGCCTTCTTGTAGGAGGGGGTCATCGGCTCTTGTTGTGCTTGGGGCTATACGGTTATAAAGCAATACATACTGTGCTGTATACGGCTGTTACAGAGTTTAGGGGTGCAAGCGCATCCAAAAACCTGTTCTGATGTCGGAGACTGAGCAAGAACGCTCGTTTTTGCGAATCAGGCGCACTACTGCATGGCAATAAAGGGATTCCCCCTGTAGTCCTTGATGGATGGATAGATAGATAGATAGGTAGACAGACAGACAAATAAAAAGTTGCAGTAGAACTTACCTCCGACCCCTGTGAGATTAAGGACATGCGTCTCGGCATGCGATCCCGTCTTTCCATCAGCAGATCATCTGAGGGCCCAAGTGGTTCAACCTACTACTGGAGCATAGGCCTAGGCGCAGGCGGTGTACTGCTACAGCTGCAAGTATGAATACATGAGGCACGTAAATCCGCCACCTGAACGCAACGCAACGTCGTTTTAGGCTCGGCGTGGCTATACAATTTATGATTAACCCTCGTGGCAGGGATTTGGCGTTTGGCTTATCGAGATAGCTC